CATGCTGCTAGCTTCTTACCGGCTAACTTTTTTTTTCTTTTCTTTTTTAGCTACTTCCAAACCTGGATTATTTAAAGCATTAATTCTCAACCTTCCTAACTGTTCTGAAGGGATGACATCACAAAAACTCTTCCCAGGTGAGAGATCTATGTACTCTCAAAATATAGGCACTATTTGGTTCTAACTTTTAGTTTCCTTATTTCTACCTGAAAGAGCGGTTGCAGACTTTCTCCTTCAGCCCAGACCCTCCTTCCCCCATGTCAGGTAGACAGTTCTTGCCACTCACCAGGATGAAGGGGACCTGCGGGAAGCCCCTTCCCTTCACAGTAATGACTGTATGGTTGGTTTTTCTTCCTGGGGCTTTGTTCTCAGCACAGGCTTGCAAGGCCTACTGTATCAGCCCAGATCTGATTGGGAGAGAGAAACCGCACAGTAATTCAAAGAGGAAAAGTTTAGTACCCAGAATTACTAACTCTAACAGGGACTGGAGTAATGAAGGCTAGTAGGAAATGAAGAGGGCACTAATGGAATGGCGGACATGACAAGCAGCTACTCCCTGAGCTGAGGCACAGCCCCCTGGGGAAGAGTCGCCAAGACCCCCGCCCCGGGGCACTCATGATGAGGCCCTGCTAGGAGGTCATGGCCGTCCCTCACTGAAGGGGAGGGCGGTGTTTCTGATGTTGTACTGGCAGAACTTGCCGGAAATCTGCCCTCTCCCACACATTTAATTATGTGGTATTTTAAACTCGCATTTACTAATATTGCCAAATATCTCGTCAAACCAGTCTCTGAGTATTGGGGAACTGTCAGCTCACTACAGCAGACACATTTCCAAAATTCTGATTTGTGCTTGAAAGCTCCCACTTTTTCCCTGGCAACTAACACAGTTGTCCTTGAAGGGAGAGCCTCCTTCCATTCATGGTCAAGAAGATGTTTGCAAGACCCGTGTCTGAGCGACCACAGCCTGTCTGCCTGTTGGTAATTCTGAGTAATGACGGTGGGGCACAGAAGGTGTCCGCCACGCAGCACGTCTCTCCGCAAGAAAATCACGCTCTCCGGTTTGCAGCAGCAAACCGGAGGTCGTGGTTTCATAACAGTACTTGTCCCTGCTCTCTCGGGGACGTTCCTTTTCCTGCCTACGGCCCATTTGCGGCTGCGTGGTGCCCCCAGCTGGGTTCCCCTGGGTGCCGCACTTTGGGGCTTTCCCACCGTCCTCCTGGACGGGACGCAGTGCCAAGACAACACCTTCGTAGTTCAGACCTCACAGGCCCCGAGACCCGCAGGGCTCCACAGATGATGCTCAGAGACCTGCTGGCCTCGTGGAAGAAGACAGGTTTTGAAGTCAGGGTTGGGGGTCCCATCTGAGCCCCAAGACAGAGTGAGTGTCTTCATGACTACGATGGACCTGCCCCACCCTCGGCTTACAAAGAAAAGTCAAAACAATGTTTGGGAAATGTGACACCATTCAGGAAGGCTTGGTCCACTCTTAAGCCTCTAATCAGACTCAAGAGAGGCTAATTAATAAACGCCAACTCATTAACATTCAGAAAGAAAAGTCACGACTGAGTATTAGCATGCGATCACCTTGACGGTAGACTTGGTTCACTGCAAAGACCATGTCGATTCAGTCAAAAGGATCTGCTAAGCATGCCTAAAAACCCTGCACCCTGCTGGAAAATGTTCTTGCATCAACAAGAATGTAGTTACAGTTAGCACCCGGCTGTTCCAGCAATCCAGGTGTACCCATGGGAGTGTGGCAGCTATGAAAAGGGACTTGAGGGCAGTTAAAGCTCTGGTTAAAGCCATGAGTCAAAACCATGGGTGCTTACTGGAACCTGAGCACCCAGTCTTGGGGCACTGGAGGTCATACGATGTTAAAGCCCAAGGCACCCTCAGAATAATGAAGCCCAAACCCCACTCCCTGCTTGCCCCCCCCTTTTTTAAAGATTGATTGATTTTAGCAGGGGAGGGGCAAAGGGAGAGGGAGAATCTCAGGCAGGTTCCGTGCTGGGCTGGGCTTGGACCCTGACAGGAAGCGTGGTCTCATGACCCTGAGATCATGACCTGAGCAGCAATCCAGAGTCGGTTGGGTCTCTTAACGACGGAACGACCCAGGCGCCCTCTGAATCTCTTTTTACACTGACAGTGGAGCCAGAGGGAGTGACACGGCAGAGGCAGTATGGGCTTAGAATGTGGGCTCTAACCAGTTACGGATTCTGTCTCTCTCTCTCTCTCTTTGTGGTCACTCTGCCTTCGGCCAGCCCAGTAGCCTCTGTCAACCTCAGCTTCCTCGGCACGGTGGCCGCCCGGGGGAGTGTGGCCAGGCCCGCAGGAGAGAACAGCTCACGGGAAGCATTTAGAGCATGACCAGGAGCACAGTAGGTGCCTGTTGAGATGTTAGCTGTCATTTATTCATGTTCCCATTATGGGGCGTGCCCGAGGTCCGGCTCTGAATTTCGGGCAGAATTTGAATCTCCTTCTTTTGAATTTATCTTAATTTTTAAATTTTATTTTTATCTGTTAGAAGCAACTTGCGCCATCGTTCATATTACAGCCGCCATGTTTAGACGTTCCTTAATTACACCTTTATTTTATTTTATGTTTTAAATATTTTATTTATTTATTTGAGAGAACAGGGGGAGGGGCAGACAGAGAGGGAGAGGGATAAGCAGACTCCCCACTGAGCGCCGAGGCCCTGTAGGGTGGCGGGGAGGCTCAATCCTGGGACCCTGAGATCATGACCTGAGCTGGAACCAGGGGTCTGAATCTCAACCAGCTGAGCCACGAGGCACCCCCTTAATTACATCTTTAGGTGGGAGGAAGTGAGTCACCTAATTTCGATTAGTGATGCTTTTATTCCAGAAGGCTTGGGAGATTTCTGCTCTGACTTTGTCCATCCGTTATCTCCAAACTCTTGGGCTTATCCTCATGCCCGAGTAGTATAGTTTGCCCCCCTGGCTTTAGCTACTTAGACACACGATCCCCACTTTCAAAGAATCAATATTAAGAAAACACCTTAGGATTGTGCTTTGTTTGTTTGTTTGTGTCTGTTTCTCTTCCTCCCCAGCCAACAGGAGGGAAAGTCACTCGGAGGTGAATAGTGAGGGGTTACAGCAGAACCAGTACAGTGAAACCTGAGAAAAAGGCACGGGGGCTCTGTTGAGACTGGTGATTGGCTCCTGTCCCCTGTCATCTTGTTAACCTTGCAGCAATACAACCCCTTGTGTCAAACAGCTGGATTTGGGGACACCATTTATAGCATTTTACTATATACAAATGTGGCTACAACGTAATATATGATTAATTGATTGACTGATTGATTGAGAGAGAGAGATCACAAGTAGGCAGAGCAGCCAGCAGAGGGTGGGGGGAAGCAGGCTCCCTGCTCAGCAGAGAGTCCGATGTGGGACTCGATCCCAGGACCCTGAGATCACGACCTGAGCTGAAGGCAGAGGCTTAACCCACTGAGCCACCCAGGCAGCCCCTTGATTGATTTTGGACCAACCAACCATGAGAGAGTCTAAAGGCTGGGGCACAGGTTGTATTGCATATTTCTGCTGAAACTGGTCAGCTTCGCTGAGATACACCCTCAAGGTCAATGGCACATGCCAACCCGTTGGCCACTGTGCTGTCTGCCAAGGAAGCCTGGTTGAGCCTTAAGGGAAGGCGCAGGACCGGCTGGACCAGGACCTTGCTGCTCCCATGGGTCTGCCAATAAGCAGCCTCCACTTCCTGGGAGCTGGTTAGGAAAACGGGGTCCCAAGCCCACCAGACCTGCTGGATTGGAGGAGGTATTAACAGAACCCCACGTGACGTGTGCACATGAAGTTCTGGGACATGCTGAGTTAGGGGAGGACACAACTGGGATGCTGGCGCAGTTTCCTGCTCATCAGACTAATAACAGTTACTCCTGCTTGACTAAACCTGGTCTCCGTGAGGTTTTTCTTGGGGGCTGACCTGGCAAACCCGAGATTCTCTTTCACTGTAGAGGGAAAAGGGAGTGACGCAGCTGCTCCAACAAGGAGCTGGCTCAGGAGTCTCAGAAGGATAAAAGTTTCATATTGTTTTTATTATTTAAAAATGTTTTTAAATGAATTTGAGAGAGAGCGAGAGAGCAGGGGGAGGAGCAGAGGGAGACAAGCAGACCCCCGCTGAGTACAGAGCCTGATGCAGGGCTCGATCTTACCATCCTGAGAGCATGACCTGAGTTTGACACCAAGAGTCAGATGCTTAACCCACTGGGCCACCAAGCACCCCTAAAGGTTTTATTTTGATCAGGACTGACATTCAGTTGAGTGCTCTAAGTAGCGCTTCCTGACATTTCCCCTATCAGAGCACACATGGAAAATATTTGCAGGCACACTGGGATAAGCAAATAATGCTCTCAGTAGCCAGAGGCAACCAGCCACCTAGCTTCTGGGTGCACCAGAGCCGGAGGGATCAAAGTCTCAGAACACAGGGAAAGCAAGCCCGTTGAGCACACCAGGGTTTCAGGACACAGCAGCTAGTTCAGGGTGGGAGCCGGAAATGGAGGCAGCATGCCCTGAGCAGTCCCAGCACCATGTTGGACTGGTCACCATCCCAGCCCTGCAGGAGCACCACCCCAGACGAAGACCCCCAGCTGGAGATGAAATGATCAGCGCAAGGAAGCTTTGGAGACTAGAAATGGTAACAAGAGCTATGCCAGCTGTTTTTCTAAGCGGTATATGTGTTAACTCATTTACGTAATAAGCTGACAAGTGAAGTCCTGTTTCTTTTTTTTTTTTTTTAAAGATTTTATTTATTTATTTGACAGACAGAGATCACAAGTAGGCAGAGAGGCAGGCAGAGAGAGAGGAGGAAGCAGGCTCCCTGCCGAGCAGAGAGCCCGATGTGGGGCTCGATCCCAGGACCCCGAGATCATGACCTGAGCCGAAGGCAGAGGCTTAACCCACTGAGCCACCCAGGCGCCCCTGAAGTCCTGTTTCTATTTCCCTTTTACAGAGGAGGGAACCGAGGCACAGTGGTGCAGGGCTTGCCCATGGTCGCACAGCGAGCGAACGAAGGAGGTCTACATCCGGTTGTCTGCACCAGACTCTGTCCTCTTGCTGTACCACCTGCCCGCAGCAGAAGATCCCAGGGAAGAAAGAGATGGAATCCTAAGTGAAAAGGGCACCCAGACCTGTCCGCATCCAGTCAGCCGGCTGAGGCTTCCTCTGCAACCCGGGCTTGCTGGGTCCCCGTCACCCGATTAGGAACAAACAAGAGGAAACAAACACCAAATTCCACATTAGGAATTGGGGGAAAGGTTTGGAGCTGAATCCTTTCAGAGTATGTTCTTATAAACACTGTTAAAGGGAAAAAGTGAAACACAAGTGAGTTCAAGAATGTGCTTTCAGCCCTCCGCCAGATAATTAGGACCACTTGCTCTTCCTCTGCATCATGAATAAGGCGCCTGGTGGTTTGTTGTTGTTTTTAAAGATTTTATTTACTTATTTGACAGAGAGAGAACACAGAGAGAGAGGCAACACAAGGAGGGGGGAGTGGGTGAGGGAGAAGCAGGCTTCCTGCCAAACAGGGAGCCTGATACGGGGCAGGCTCCATCCCAGGACCCTGGGATCATGACCTGAGCCAAAGGCAGGCGCTTAATGACGAAGCCACCCAGGCGCCCCTGTTTTGTTTTTTTAACCTGTTTATAATAATGACCAATGTGTGCAACTGCCCCTCAGAACAATGTGTTACTTAAACTATAACCCCTGTAGGATTTTACTAGTTACCAAGCACATTTAGATATGGCCTTAAGAAAAACACATGCTGGCAATAGGTCTTTGGGGGGAGATAGGACCGTGAAGCAGAGCGGCAGGGGATGCCCTGCCCCCTCAGGGCGGAGCGAAACACCGCCTGCTTCCCTTTTCCATTATTGCTCCTTCCTCCTCCCAAAAGCGCCTGTTGTTAGTTAGATGAGTCCTTTGAATGTGCTTGGTTAACTATGAACTTTACCCTCCTTCTTGTTTGTCCACAACACCTGTGACTAATCTGTGGGCTATTGTTTCTATCTAATAAAAAACAGGACTGAGGAGTTGCTCCGGGCCACAGTCTTTTTTACTGTTGTCCGCTGCTCCCGTTCTCCTGCAGCTGACTGGTTTGTGCCTCATTCCTCTCCCGTTCACCGTTCGAGGTTCGCCGACTGGAAGCAGCAAGTGGCACCGGAACAGGGACTTGAAACGAAAGGGGAGAAGAAGCCCCAATGTGAGTTTTGCACGGCCATGCCTTTTTCCCGCTGGTGAGTTGTGGGTACTTACCGCAGGGTATGGGGAGTCGAGAGAGCACAAACGATTATCGCCCTTAGGTTTGCTTACTGAGGGGGCTCCTAAAGGCGGGAGGAGCAAAAGTCGGCGAGGGCCAACTTATGGAGCTTTTAAAGGTAATTAAAGAACATTGCTCCTGGTTCCCTATGTTAGGGACGTTAGAGTTACAAACTTGGGAAAAAGTAGGTCACGAGTTAAAACTTTCGTATACTAAAGGAAAACCAAGTCCAATTACTGTATGGCCTACTTGGACCCTCATTCGCTCCATACTGGAGCCCTTACAAACCCCTAATTCGGAGAACGATAATGAATGTTCAGGAGAAACTAAAAAAGGAGAACCTGAACATGCCATCCAGGAGGAGAAAGAAATTACTAAGGCCACCAGAAAGGAATATATAAAGGAGAAATCTCCTCCGCCTCCTCCAATAGCAGAACATAAGGTTCCAATGGCACCGTTGCCATCAGCTCCACCATTCTATAAGAAGGCACCATTTAATGAAAAAGATGAAAAATACATGCTATCAGCCATTCAAAAAGGCCTCCTTGAAGCACAGCGAGCGGGATTCCTAGATGCCTTGCATTTTAATTTCCTGGTTATTACAGAACATGTCCTTCCAGGACATGATCCTAACAAACCTAAGGGTGTCTATGAGGCCAAGCATGAGCCATTTCCCTTCAAATTATTGAAGGAACCAAAACAAGCAGTACAAAATTACGGAGTTAATTCTCCATTTACAACAGGAATCATTCAAGGCTTCGCAGAAGGCAATCGACTTACTCCAATTGATGGGTCATTGTTAGCAAAAACAGTTCTATCTCCAAGTGAGTTCTTGCGATTGAAAACATGGTGGCAAGATCGTGCAGAAACCGCAGCTGCCCATAACAGAGCTCGTAATTTCCCTATTTCCATGGAACAGCTCATGGGTATTGGGCCATGGGCGCAGGTGCAAGACCAGGTACTAATGAATGATCAAGCTATTGAGCAGCTCCGGTGTTGCTGTTTGAGAGCCTGGGAGAGAACAGAATCCCAAGAAGAGAAGTGCTCTTCTTTTCAGAAAGTGATACAAGGTCCAAAAGAACCCTATACTGATTTTATTGCAAGATTACAAAAGGCTGTCAGAAGACAGATAAATAATCTTGAGGCTGCGGATACCATTCTGCAACTATTGGCTTATGAGAATGCCAATTCTGATTGTAAGAAGTTGCTAGCACCCTTTAAAGGTAAGGGAACATTGACAGATTATATTAAGCTATGCCAAGGAGTACGAACAGAGACCTATAAAGCTGATTTGTTAGCTCAAGCAATGGCTGCACTTAACACAAGAGAAATTACTTACTTTGCAAGCCTTAGTAGAGGAACAGATAGAAAAAGGACATATTGAAGAATCTTACAGTCCTTGGAATTCTCCAGTTTTTGTTATTAAGAAAAAATCAGGAAAATGGAGGCTTTTAACAGACCTGCATGCGGTTAATTCTGCTATCCAACCCATGGGGTCTCTCCAACCCAGATTGCCTTCGCCTAATCTAGTCCCACGCGAATGGCCAATAATTATCACAGATTCACAGGATTGCTTTTAGACTATACCACTTGCTAAGGAAGACTATCCTCGTTTTGCTTTCACTATTCCTAGTGTAAATTAAAAAGAACCAGCCAAATGGTATCAATGGAAAGTTCTTCCACAAGGAATGTTGAATAGCCCCTCTATCTGTCAGGAGTATGTGGCAAAAGTTATACAGCCGGTTAGAGATCAATTTCCACAGATTTGTCTTAGCCATTATATGGATGACATACTATGTGCAGCCTCTGACAACATGCAATTGCAGGATGCATTTAGAATGCTTCAGTTGCAATTTGAAAAATACAAACTAAAGCTCCAGAAAAAATATAAGTCACCACACCTTTCTCATATTTGGGGTTCATTATGGACAGGACCTCCGTTAAACCCCCAAAAGTTCAAATCCATAGAGATAAAATTACAACCTTGAATGATTTGCAAACGTTATTGGGAGATATTAATTGGATAAGACCTAAAATTGGAATTCCCACCTATGCTTTACAGCATCTATTTGCCTCTTTAAAGGGGGATCCTAATTTAAACAGCCCTAGAACCCTATCAAAAGAGGCCTTAAGAGAATTACAATTTGTTAAAAGCCAGATTCATTCAATGCAAACGGATAGAGTCCAACCTGAGATATCGTTAGATCTTCTCATTTTTCATACCCCACATACACTCACTGGGTTAATTGTTCAGGAAAAGTTAATTGTAGAATGGATTTTTCTCCCGAATAACACTGTTAAAACACTCACTACTTATATAGACCATATTGGCAGTATTATTAAATTAGGAAGAAAAAGAATTCGCCAAATACAGGGGTATGATCCGCAGGTTATTGTTCTGCCTTTAAATAAGACACAAATTGAAACGGCATTTCAAAATAATTTAAATTGGCAAATTGCCCTTAGTGGCTTTGCTGGAAACACTTCTTCTCATTATCCCTCTTTACCTGTTGTTTCCTTTTTAAAACATACTGCTTTTGTCCTTCCCAAAATTTCTTCTAAAAATCCAATAACAGATGCCCCTACTTAACTTTTCTGATGGCTCTGTTAAAGATAAAGCTTGTTATTATGGTCCTACTTCAAAGGTCATATCTACTATTGGTCTCTCAGCACAAAAAATCAGAATTAATGGCGGTTATTGCATTGTTTCAAGACGTTTATTCTGCATTTAATCTGTTATCTGATTCTTTGCATACAGTATATGTTTTACAGCATATCAAAACTACTACTGTTTCTACATCTGATGTAATATGATGACTCTAATCACAGTAACCTTAAGTTTTCCTAGATATTATGCACAAATACATAACTTTATTTATTGGGCTTATATACCCAGTCCTTCTCTGCTCTGTCCAGTAGAGTGGGGAGAAGATAGAATACCAATTTATTTGAATGCCTCAAAATGGGTACCTGGAATTTTGGATCCGAGATTGCCACTATTGCCCTTAGAGGAGGGCACAAATATTAATCTTACCTTTGGATATCAAAATAGACCAATATGTATCGGTAATCATTCCAGTTGTCTTATCCCTGATGATCAGATGGTTGGTGGACTTTCCTACTGATAATTAGCTGACTAAAGCTCAGTTACATTTACTGTCCACTAAAGGATTCCTTGCCAAGGAATATCGGGGTCCTAGCTATAACACAGCAGCACCCCCTATTCCCAAATGCAAACTAACACAAATAGGATCTGATGAGGGAATTCGCCCTTTATGGGAGGATTGTCGAGCTTCTTACCCCAGTATTGTTATTAGTGATTCCTATGGAATTGTATGGGACTGGTCCCCTAAGGGGATGGCAGTCACCAATTGCACTGGTAGACCCTGCTCCTCTCATCGAAATTTAAAATGGCAAGTTTTTGATGATCCCATTTTACCGCAAACCTTAACCTCAGGAGATGCACCTCTGGTCTGGCTTGGGCAAGGACTTTCTATGCCATCTCCCTTTGTTGATTATCATAAAAGACAAAAGATTTTATGGAAGGTCACCACCGCTTTAAATCACGTAAGAGTTTGGAACAGCTCTTACATTCATCAGTCTAATGACTATGCATTTTCTTTTTTCCTTATGGATAAAGAATGGGTAAAAGCTTGTGTTAGAGATCCCTATGTTTTTGTTATTGAAAAAAAATGACTTTTGATCATAGCAATAGAGAAATAGACTGT